GTCCCCAGACCTCCCACTGCCATGTCCTCAGCCTGGGCAGGCCTGGGGGACCCCACCTCGTCCCCAGACCTCCCACTGCCATGTCCTCAGCCTGGGCAGGCCTGGGGGACACCTCCTCGTCCTCAGAGCGGCTGTTTGCAATGGGGACCCTTCATCGCCACTTTTCCAGGTGGGCAACTGAGGCACGAGGTGACCCAGGGGCTCCTCTGAGGCTCCATGGCCTGTGAGTAGGGGGCAGGCTTCCTCCATAGCCTGGCTCCACGCTGCCCACCCCCATGCCAGGAAAACCCAAAGGAAATGGAAGCAATAAATGACAGAAAAGAAAGAAAGAAGGAGTGAGGGAAGAGGAGCAGGCTGAAGGCACAGCCACAGACCCCAAGGCTCAGCTCCCACCTGCCCACGGCCACACCCAACCCCAGGGGCAGGGCCACAGCCTCCTCCCTGCCTCCCCCGCCCCCTCCTGGCCACAGTCTCCCCAGGGGTCAGGTTGCCACCCACACCCTCTGGGAAAACAGGCCCCTCTTCCAAGGCTGGAGGAAATCATGGAAAAAATAAATAGGAAAAGCAAAAGTTAGGGTCAATCAGTGAAGATCACAAGATGTTTGTTTTTTAAGACAGAATCTTATCAGATATGATATGAAAATGGAAACCCAAGCAATTAAAAACAAAAAAGATGAGATCAAAGGACTCTGTTCAACGAGTCCCTGGCCATGCCCTCACTAGGCGAGGCTAGGGGCTTCCCCACCCGGGGTCTTTGCAGCACCTGACCCTGGCCAGGCTCAAGGTTGAAGGTCACCGGTGCAGGGCTGGTCTGCTCAGCAGGTGGCTACCCACTGGAGGCTGCAGGTCTGGTCAGCACTGGCCAGGTCCTCTCTCTCCCAGAGGTCATGCTGCAGGTGTTGCTTGAGCTCTGGGGCAAGGGCACCCAGAGGACCAAATGTGCCTTCAGCTGAAGGACCTTGATGGGGACCTGGGACCATGGGGCCTCGCAGTCCCAGGTGTGGGGAGGGCTTCTGGCCAGTCCCCGAGCCTCATCCCACCTGTTACCTCAGCTGCCCTGGGGCAGTGTGTCCACACCCAGAGCAAGAACTCCTAGCTCTGCCGGCCACGTGACGGCCACCTCATCAGCACAGTCGCTGCAGGATCTCCTTCACCATCCGGCAGAAGCACTTGTTGAGGCTGCTACAGGTGAGGAGCCTGAGGCCTGGGTGAGGTGTCCCCGCCCTGCAGAGCCTGGGGCAGTCCTCTGCTGGAAGCCCCCCCCCAGCGCCCCACCCTGTTCCTTCACACCCAGATACCCACCTTCCCGGGGGCCTGAGTGCAGGAGAGCGGGTTAACTTACCATCCATCAACTGGAAAGCCTCATGCCATATGGCGATGATTGACACTCATAGGAATGTAATTGAAATTAAATTCTAAAATAGCTTTAGTGTTAAGTGCATTTTAGTCTAATTCCTTGAAAATTGGTCATCTGTGTATAGTAGAGAGGTAACAAGAAAACATGCTTCATCAACCATCCGCTCACCTTTCCCAGAGCCCTAAACGCCATGTAAAGGAGAAGGCCTTGTTGGCATAGGGGTGCCGCCTGCCGTGAGGACCCCAGAGCCCACGCAAGGAGCCCAGGAGTCTGAGCCACTCCAGGCCACGTCCTGGGATGGACACCCGCTCCTTAGTGCAAGAGGTTGCCCCACCACCAGCCTCTCCTAGAGTGCGGGCTGCTGCAGCTGCCCAGGTCCTGACCCCAGGACCCCAGGTCCACCTTATGTGGCAATGGGGCCTCTGCAGATCTCAAGATCCTCTCAGAGGGCTGAAGAAACAGCTCAGCTGGTGGAGTGCTCGTCTCACAAGGCCCTGGTTCAATCCCCAGCACCCAAAACGAAAAGAAAAGACCATCTCAGGCGGGGTGGTGATTGTAAGCAATATGAGGAGGAGAGGACCTGGAGGTGGAGGCCACGTGGGGAGGCAGGAGAGGACCTGGAGGTGGAGGCCACGTGGGGAGGCAGGAGAGGACCTGGAGGTGGAGGCCATGTGAGGAGGCAGGAGAGGGTAAAGGGAGACCACCTGAGGATACAGGAGAGGACGCAGAGAGGAAAGGACACATGAAGAGGCAGCAGAGGCCAGAGTGGTGCAGCCAGGAGCAGGGAAGCTGGGGGCCAAGGACTCTGGGCCTGCCCATCCTGGATCACAGGTTTCTGGCCTGTGCCAGGCCATCGTGTTTGCCTGTTTGTTTTTGCTGTTGCTTGGTGCAAGTTCCTCATGTGTCCTTATCAGCCGCATGGTTTAAATGTCCCCACTCTGTAGGCTGTCTCTGCACTCTGTTGGTTGTCTCCCCTGCTGTGCAAAAGCTTGTGGTTTGATGTAGACCCACTAGTGTATTTTGGATTTTCGCCTGAGCTTCGGATATGCCATCCAAAACACGCCTGCTTGCCAGGCCCCTTCCCACCGCCTCGGGTCCCAGTGTAGGTGCCATTCCTTGTGCTACTGCATCTGAGGTGGAGGTCAGCCCTGACCCTGTTCATTCACCCATCCACGTCAACTCACTGGGAACCCATGGAGGGTGGGCTGGGCCCCCTGTGTCAGAACACGCTGTGGCTCGTGGAGCGGAACGAGGTGCCATGGACCCCCTGGATCTCACAATGGAGACAGGCCAGGAGCATCCCTGAGTGTAGGAAGAAGGAGCCAGGGCAAGCCGGCCTCCCCTGGCAGCACCGTGCTCTGGCCCCACCTGCATGATTCACCGCTGAAGGTGGCAGCCCACAGGTGCTCCAGCCACGTGGGACACAGAGCAGGGCTCCTGGCAGCTGGAGTTCAGCCTACCTTTGCGTAGCCGCGATCACTGTGCCCGCAACCCCTGGGCACCCTGTTGCCTGGTCCTCCCAGAAGCCGTGTCTACTCTACCGTGTCACATGGGGAAGGAGTCTTCTGTTTCTGTCCTTTCTGTAGATTCTGGGAGTGTCAGAGGGCTTAAAGTGGTCATCAGTGATAAGCTGAATATTTTTAAATAACATATATGAAAATGAGGCCAAGTTTAGCCTCCACAAAACCCCAACCAAGAACACAACCCAAAGAAATAGCCTTTCTATGTCCTTCGAAGTTTGCAGAAAAAATAGCAGCCCAGTTTCCAGAGGCGGGTTCTCCCCATTCCCTCCAGCCTCCCGCCCCAGCCCCCACACCCAGCTAGCCCTGTCCCGCCGAGATCAGCAGTGGCACAGGATGGCACAGGCAGCCCCTGGCCGCCAGAAGGAGTCCCTTTGAAGCACATGTTGAAACACAATTTGCATTTTGGAAATACGCAGGGCAGGAAGAGATTGCTGGCATTTCCCAGCTCCGCCAATGCTGTGTTCCAGCGGCATCATAAGACACTCCCCTAATGAAGTAATGAAAACAGTGTGAAATTTAAAACACCCAAGGACATCTTTAAAGGACACCATCTCCTGCAGCAAAATAAAGGAAACGTTTAGATGCTACAGACCAGAGTGTTCCCTGGGGTCCCCCACCACGGTCCAGATGAGCGGCATGATATTCATATTGATGCCTATCACCCGTCACCCTGGAGGACCCCAGATGGTGCTGAGACTCTACCTCCACTTACCTAGTAAAGTCCTATTTATTCTGTACCCCAAGCAAACTTGTGGGTAACTGATATAAAATCGGCCAAGTGTGCTCATTCCAACTCCTAGAATTTCTTAATACTTTGAAATGTGTGTAACTGGGAAGACATCCTGGTGATGGAGGGAGACTCCTTTGAAAGACACTTTCCAACTCAGGTTCTCGCCTCTGTCTACACGTGCAGCATGAAGGCCACGCAGCGCTCTAGGAAACAGCACCACCACCTACATACACAGCAGTCTAGGTTTTAAACTGGTTGAGTTCAAAACACTTCTCAGAGCCAGACTACTGCCCACAGCTGACCCTAGAAGAAGTAGTTCCTGAGAGTTGGCCATGGGCAGGCACCTCTTTGGAAGAGCCCGTGGTGGCCCTGGGTGGCCAGCACCTCAGCTCCAGAATCCTTGCCTCCTCCACAGGCTTCTCTGTCCTGGGACACGGTTCCAGAGTGCTGCTGGGCACAGCGTGGCTCGCAGAAAGTGCCCAGCCTAGAAGAGAAGGCAGGCTGCGGAGCTATAGGCCTTGGGCTGGTTCCTGCCTCCTGTCCACCCACAAATTTTGCCTTAAGATAAAATGTAAATGCTTCATCCTGACTGTTATGGCTTGGACCTGGGAAGTCCTCCAAAGCTCACCTGTTGAAAGCATGGACCCCCGTGCAGCAAGGTTCAGAGGTGGGCTTTCAGGCCATGGCTGGATTGAGGGCTCTGACATCACCAGCAGATTAATGCACTTGATGAATTGATCCACTGGTGACTTAATGAACTACTGGTTGGTGGGACCCAGTTGGAGGAAGTGGGTGCCTGGGGCATGCTCTGGGAGGTTTGTCTTGCCCCGGCTCCTTCCCCACCCCACTCCCTCCTCCTCCC